ATCGATATTACTGTAATCAAAATAATGGGTACAAAAAATTTAATGTACCCTACAGGTACATCTACATTAACTCTTTTTATTTATATATAATAATTTAAATATCTCAATCAATTAATTATATAATAATTATAAGTATCACAATAATAATATTTATAAAATTAAATGCTTAAACATACTCTTATATTCTAAGAATAAAAAACTTGTAAAATTTTAGTATATATAATATCTTTTTTAATATCCTAATATCAAAAATTATTTTTAATTAATGATTTACGATTTATTTAACCAATAAATTTATATTTCGATTTACATTAATTTATACAAATTAATAACTCTAGCTCCAGTGGGTACTAGATAAAAAACACTAACTAGTTTTTATAATAAAATTTTATTATTGTTAAAGTCACATAGCTGATAGTGTGATTTCATATAATAAATTAATAAAATTTTTTTTAACTTCCTATAAAATAATATATTGTCATTCATTAATTAATTACAAATATTCTATCCAAACACCTAACTATACTTAGCTTTAATTACACGAAAATTATTCAAAGAGCAATTATTATACTAACAGTTTAAATAATGGTATAATAAAAATACATTATATCCTATGATATTTTTAATCAAAATGCAAACTATAAAACCTTGCCTGAATCATAACCTTTCCTATATTCAATTTTATCGACCTTAACATCACCATCAACCAATCGATAAACGTAGGTCACAACAACAGAGCCTTGAATATCCATCAAAACAAAAGATGGCTTTATATCTCTGCAATTAATTAAAAAATAACCAGAGGGGATGAACATTTTGATATGAAATTACAATGAAAAATTCTATAAAATAAATTACTTACTCAGTGCTAAATCCAGAATAAGCACCAGTTGCACTCCCAGGATTAACAAAAAATTTGCCTTCATATTCAATCGCTTCAAATCGATGAGTGTGGCCAGTTAATAAAATGTCCGCATCCATTTGTCGTGCTATGATTGACAAAGATTCAGCGTCACCCACAGGAATCACTTGGTGACCATGAAGAACCCCGATACGAAGCGGACCGTGAGTTATGATTTTGGAGAGAGGCAAGTTTGGAAACTAACATCATATTTGATAGATATCATCAATACGTTAAATTGATTAGGATTTATAATATTATGACATACCTCATCATAATCACCCTTCACAACGTGAACATCTGCTGCTATGGTACGTAAATAATCAAACGTTTCTTTGTCACATACATTCCCTGTACATATGATTTGTTGTATTTTTCCTGGTACCTATTTTGTTCCGGTTGATTCAGTTTTTAAATAATTTATGAAGTATGAGTTTTTTTGTTTAATTGTGATTGAAGAAATAAGAAATTAAATACAACCAAAAGCTTTTTGAACTTGAGAGGAAGATCGTGTACGCGATACGGAACGTGAAGATCGCCTATTACTAAAACTAACTAGAATTTTGAGCAAAAATCATCACAATTTTTAAAAATTTGACAAGCTGTTATTGCCATTTAAATACATTAGGTCTAAACATTTACCACCATTGCGAAGAGAAAAGCCTATTATTATTGAAATTAAGCATGACCGAAGTTTTATTTATGTAATAACGTTACACGGAATTTTTATATCAAAATATGTATCAAGGTTGA